CTGAGGCGGGGTGCGGGGGCTCGGGCCTCGGGATCCTCCGTGTGCTGCTGGGCTTGGGGCCGGCTGAGCCTGAGCGTAAGGGCTTGTTTCCCTGCCAGCCCTTCAGTGTAATTGTTTGCCCTGTTTGGCAGAGGTGAGAGCTGTTCATCGGGTTTTGTTGTCCTTAAAGCCCCTGACCAGAGTCTGCACATGGCATCTGTGAGACCAGGAAGTTAATTTTGCATTCAAAAGCAATGTTGTACAAGTGTCATCATCTTCCTCATTTATGACTAAACTCACAAGCCATATATGAAACATAAGTTAACTGGGACTACTAATACTTGTACTGCTTTTAGCACTTCACTTTTGCCCTCTGGTTTTTGGCTCAAGTAGCTTCTGGGGTTGTGTCCTGGATTACAGAGAAGAAAGACCTTTTTTGGGAGTGTTAGAGGATTGCCCTGTCTCAGGCTCTGCGCAGGACAGAAGAGCCATAACACATACGCTAAAGTTTGATCTGCATGCCTTGTTTGCAGGTCTGGTGGTTAAATGTGGATTGTTCCTGCAATTAATATAATTTTGTCTTACATGTGGTTTTTGTCCTTCCATTCACAGGAATTGCCAATGACCTTCCATTCACCACGTCTTTAGTTTGCTAAAGACATCGTAGTGATAGGTATGTGTTCATAGCTTGACTGACTCTCCTTTTGGGATGATGAGCAGCCATAGCTGTATCCTAAGTGCCAGACAGGTGTTGTGTTTACAGCCATTTACAAACAAGAATGCAGTGTATAGAGTTGGAATTTTCGCCCTTTCTTTTTAAGGGAAGTACTTATACTGTCAACTCTCTCAGCAGTCACAGGCTTAAATTTCTGTGTAACTGTAACTAGGGCGCTTTTGTATTAACGTCATACACAAGCAAGACATAGTATTAATCTGAAGCACAGAGTGTCAAAACTCTTTTCAGACATTTCTCTCTTAAGTGGTAATTCTGCACCAAGAGTAAGCATGAGAAGTATAAAATGAAATAGGTGTTTATGGGAAGATGGACACTACTGATGTTGTTATATGGCATGCTTCTCTTACTGAGCTCTTTAGATATTTTTCAGAAGTATGTAGTAAAGTGAGTTCAAAATACACAAGCACAAATTCACAAATTGGTGTTTAATACTTGAAATAGTGAAACTTTCTGCCATGAGATGTCATGGAAACACTTGGTACTCATGAGTTCAGAGAAGTGACACATTCTAGCTTTAAATGCCAAAACCTGTTTGGAGCTGAGAAAAGTATCTGAACTGGCACTTGCTGAAATCGAGAGAAATGCACCTGGAAAAGTAATTCCTGTATGCATACTCTAGTGTTACATTTTACTGAGCATCTCTTACTGCCTGTTGCCAGAAACTGGATACTGAGTTAGGGATGTCTCTGGCCTGACTGAAGAAGGCACTTCTCACAGGCTAAAGAAGCAGGGACAGAAGCAGCAGTGGGCAAAGGAAAGCTTTATATAAATGTTTGTTGTTGAAATCTGCTAAACTTATTTTATTTCACCTTCCTTTAAAAACATCTTATATACACAACAGGTTAAATAATCTTGTGCTTATCAGTGTTCTGAATAAAGTCAAACCCTCCTTGATCCCTCACTGGTAGGTCTTCCTGCACTGTCCCTGTCCCCTCCGATGTCGCAACCGTGTGGCAGCACTGTATCCAACACACCACTAGAGGACTTGGCTCCTAGAGTGGGAACTGCATTACCAAGTTACAAAAAACAGTATTTCATGGTTGTGTCTCACAGTATGACAGACGTTGTCTCAACTTCTTTTGACTCCAATGGAATTAAATACTGTCATTGATTTGATCAGATTTATTTATTTATTTTCACTAATGCTTACTTGCCTCAAGATGGTAAGGAGACAGGCATGTTTTGATGAAAGGGAATCATAGAGTACAAAGTTGGAAGGGACCTCAGGGCTCATCTGGTCCAACTTTCTTGGCAAAAGCAGGGTCTAGAAAAGATGGCCCAGCACCCTTTCCAGCTGAATCATAAAAATGTCCATATGGAGTACATCCATATTTAATTATCAGTGGGAAATATTTTAAACCTGGGATAAGGAAGTGATAACATTTATCAAAAAATAGCTTTTCCATAATTAATGATCAGCATAGGCAAACAAATATCTTCCTTATTTTAAATTCTACATTTACTGGTGAGTTTCATATGTTCAGTTGCTTCCATATTTTATTTTTTAAGGTATAAATTATAGAAGTAGAGTTATCACAATTATTTTCTGCTTCTTGTCATGTTTCATCTTTTATGTAGTTTGTTTTGGAAGAGTAATTCAGCTGAAAATAAAAAAGACCTTATTCTTTAGTGTCACAGTTTCCAACGTTGTTATGCTCTGCTTTATATCTGTAGTCTAGTGTTTCATAAATGATTTATGAAAATAATTAAAGTTTCTGTGTTTGGTAAAACAGGTTTTTCATATTTGGTAAGCTATTATAGTTGGATAGTTTTGCTAGGGTTTTTCCCCTCCTTTCCCTTCAGAGAGCATATATTCATGTTGTGTATTAATAATGAAGTCTCAGGCTTCACCACTTACTGCTTTAAAAAGTGTATTTACATTAAGCTCTGAACCTGGTTTCTCTTTATGTTGAAGCTAGTTCAAAGAATCTCTTGTCATGTAGGAATTAGAGTGAATGTGAACATGAAATACACATACTTTTTTCTGAAGTGGAAAATGGAAGAATCACCTACCACGGACTTAGGTTTTTAAGTATGAAAAAAAGCTGTTATAGCAGCCTTGTCAGTATCCAGGTGTATATGGGAAAGGGACAAAAAGTGCATGTGTACGTCGTGAGAGTGGAGATAAAAGTTTTGAAGAGGGCTGGCATGGGAAATGAGGCGTTTGAAACGAACAGAGGGATGGCCCGGGAGTCTTTTGTGTATGTGTGGGCTTTGGGCGTCACAAGTCACCACAGTGTTTTGTGGCAACCTCAACACTGGGTTTTCTTCTTCCTCCAAGCAGGCAGGAGAGGATACAATGGACTCACACACTTCGGTTGCCTGATGCCTGATCCTGCAGCCCTTTGATCACATGAGTCATCCCACTGATTGCAGTGGAACTGCTCATGTATGTAGGGCTTCTTATAAATGGGTTGGTGCGACCAAGGGTTCATGGGTTTGAGCTTGGTGTGGGCTTTGCAAAGGACAATAATTTGCCTTTGTGGTAGCTCCATGATTTGCATTTTCTTTGAACGTGGCCTATCCCCATTCTCCTTTCACACAACACTTGCCTTAAGAGGCAAAAAGCTGCTGTTTAATCAGTATGGCTACGTATGAGGCAGAACACAACTGGTGTATGTACTGTATTCACATGTATTTTGAAAAATCCTAGTTTTATGCTGGTATAAATCTACAGCAGTTGTAAGCAGCTATATTACAGCATTGCTGCCGATAGCATTTGACCATGTCTGTGGGGTAGCAACGGTAGTTTAGTGAACTGAGTTTCTGTTACTTTTCCCCGGCACTCACCTGACATAAAGCTCAAGTTGAGGCCGAGTGCATCAGGAGAAATATGTGGATGAAGCAGCTAACATCTTAATGTAATAAAATAATAGTCAGATAGGGAGGGGATTCAGAACATTTCTCAGTGATTCATGCTGGTAAATCATGCTGAAAATTATGGTAATTATAAATCCTGCCTGGTGGTTATAGATATCTTGTTCTCCCCCTCTCCCTTCTTTTTTTTTTTTTTTTTCTCTCTCTCCAGTTGCCCCTCTTTCTTTTGCCTTTTCCTCACATTTAAAGAATGTCATTTCAACCTGAATTAGCTTGTGTTTTCTTTATGGCAAGCAGAATCAGATGTCTGAAAAATAAAGTGAAAGAAAGAATTGTATGTGGTTATAAGTGCACCACAGGTTTAAACAGAAACCTTACTACTTGAATGGAGTCAAGATGAGTTTAATCATTTTAGGGTAATTTCTTCTTTTATAGATGTCCCTGTGTAGACACCACTCAAAAGCAAGGACAGTGTGTTTCATTTAAGTTTATGATTTTTGTTTGCCATTAATTTGGAAACTAAAGGTTGCAGAAGCATAAAGCATGGAGGAAGATAGAAAAGAAAAGGGTAATGGGGAAAAAAATGTGTTCAGTCCCAGCATTTTAGGCTGCATTTAGGATGCAAGGCTCCCTTTTAACCTTCTTGTTGTAGTGAGGAATTTTAAAGAATGGGATTTTTACTGATGCTAATCAAAAAGTATAAATAAAAGACTTCAACTAGGCACAACAGAGAAGGGATATTTAATAGCTGTAGGCCATAGTACTCAAGTTCAACAAAAATATATTCAGTGCTTGTGACTATCTTAGTACCTATATTTTTATGAATTAAAAAGCTATTGTTTTCTCTTCTAGTTCACTTTGATCACCAGAACGAACTCCACAAGAGATGGTAAGCGGTCTTTATGGGTTTCTACGGGATAACTTAGTCACATTTTATACACAAAATGTGCATAAACACTTTTATTGAACTGTCAGTGCAGACATGTAAAAATTAGATGTGAAAGTAGCTAAATTGCTTTGAAAATAGAATTCAGATTACAACAGTGAGTGATTTGTCTACTCCTGGGAAGATTCCAGAGACATAACAGGAAAATAACAGAGGACTCTGATCATTTGCCTTAGATTTATAGCTTTTGTTTCCTTGAGGAAATATCTTATTTCCATTTATTCTGCAGCTGAAAAAGCACAGACATAGAACTTAAGTTAGGTGTTAAAAGTGTCCCTTTCCCTTTTCCACCCGAATGTAAAACATTTCTGTGATTTTTTTTTTAATTTTTTTTTTACAGATATTTTTAAAATTCAAATGTAAAAGGGGTTTTCAAGGGTCACTTCCAACAAAAAAGCCATAAAAAGTAGTTGGACAGGCACCAGCATCACTGTTCTGTCCACATGAACTGGCTTTTTGTCTTCCTTTCCTCTGAATTCACAACTGGAGCCTAGTCAGCTAGACAAACCAGCCAGCTGGATTCCAGAGCTTTCAGTAAAGTCATCAAGGCCCTTTTGAGATACATTTTAGAAGAAGTGGAGATAATTTTTGAGCTTTAAAAGAATATGCTGTCTTCTTTGGAGATACATAGAATGTAGAAGATACCTGCTTTTGTCAAGCTTCATGATGTTTCAAAACTGGATTTTTAAGTAGTGTAAAAAGAGGCAAAATGTTCTAAAAGTAACCCGTGAATGTATCAGATTTGACAACAGGACATTCTCATCTGGCTGCTGAAGGATGAGGAGTCTGTGTGACATTCTTAAGCAAAGCAAGAACAGTAAATAAAACATTGTTAATCCTAGCTTTTAGATGGTTGGATGATTAAGAATGAAAAAATTCCATATGGAAGGCAGATGCTTTTCTTGCACCCACTCATCTTGGGAATAAATCTTCTGAAATACATGGTCTTGTAGCGGTACAATGTTAGACCAAGAGGAGAATCGTAATGAAATTTTACCTCCATGAATTGTTACTTTTTAGGAATGATAATTTGGACTTTTAAATGAGGTAGCTGAGCCCCACAGCCCTTCACAAATAGGGTGCAATTTTTGATCAGAAATTCTTTAGGAATGCAATTTTTTTGCAGTGGGTTTTCTTTACGGACTCTATTAGCTGGAGGTATTTTGTTTCTGAGGGCAGTTACCAATGCCCTTAAACAGAGATAGCATTTATAGATCTTTTGTGGGATAATGGACTCAATTTCTTAGAAAGAAGGGAAACACGAGAGTTACAATTCTTATTCCAAACTCTAGCATTTGCATTATTGCCTGAGAACCAGAAAGTGAAAACAAATGTAAGTAAATGAAATTAACCTCTCTTGATATTGTTAGCATTAAATTGAAAGTATTTCTTAGGTTTGTTTTTTCCATTTTGTTTTGGGATTTTCATTTTTCTTTTCCAGAGAATCATTCTTCTAAGGCTATGGCATGGTGCCAGCACAGATCAAGAAAACACACTTAAAGAAAGATTTTTGTCTTGTATGCCCTTTAAAATAAAATAAAAGACTGTAAATGTCGCATTCATCTCTGAAAACCTCAGCTAATCTTGCCATAGTTTTGAGTGCTTGCCAAAACATGGCTTAATTAAAATTCTTCCAATTTAAAGTACGGGCATTCTGTTTTGGCCCAGATGAAAGATTTTCTATGGAAATTAAAATATGAGGGGAAAGAAAAAAAAAAACTGCTATTTATTTTACTTGTTCTAGGCTCTAGTTTACTGTATGGTCTTCTTTTAAGATCCTCTGTTATCCCTTCTTTTTGAGAGTAGGATGAGAAGGGAGATGAAATGGCCTGTATGAAGGAGGCTTAAGGCTAGAGGGACTGTGGGGCTTTGTAGTTGCTGGTGAAATCTGACCAGCGTGAAACTATTTTTTTCAGGAAAACTAAGATTAACTGGAAGACAGGAGAAGGTGTGTTACAGTATGTTTTGTTCTGTAGAACTACTTTTCCATGTGCTTTATCAGTGGTACTTTATTGCCTCTTTTCATATGTTGGTCACTGATGAGTACAAAAGGGAAATTTACTGGTAGCTTGCACTTGGCTAAATACAGTCTTGTTTTTGATTGAGGCCATGATGGATATATGAACTTGGCTGAATTGCCAGTTGACCTTTTCAGAGAAACTTATTTTGGCAGGCAGATGGAGGAAATATGTTACTGGATAAAATGAATGCCTTTGTTCAATATGGAGGAATTTTAATCTCTTCTATTTTCCTGTCTGCGGATTTGGAAATCAGGTGTAGGTTGTAATACAGCCACCTTGGAATGATTCAGTTCTTGCAGCTCACATGAGCAGCTAAGGACTGGTGGAATATATCCACACCACATATTCTCTGAAAAGAACTGATTCCCACTGTAGTAGCACAAGCACTTGGAAAATACCTTCTGGACGCTACAACTTCTCTGTTGCTAATTCTTCACTCTTAGTTGTGTTGATGCAAAACCAATCTTTTGTAATAGTAATGAAGTGTAATGCTTCATTACAAGTATTAACGAGTGTTAATACTTGTCCTTTTTCAGATCTGTATGATTTATCATAGGAAAAGCATGACTAATCGTTAAAAGGCAAACTTTGCACTTGCATTTACAGTGTTCCTCCCCTCAATTACTGTTTGTTTTCTCCCCCTTTTCTTTCTTTTTCTTTTTTTTTTTTTTTTTTTTTTTTTTTTTTTTTTTTGTTTGTTGTTTTTTTCTTCTTTCTCTCTCCCCCATGTTTTGGCCACAGGAGAATGCTGAGCCGTGGTACTCTCAGCAAGTGTATGCAAAATACTGGAAGCACTATGACTTAGCCATGCGCTGGATGCGTAGACACCAGAGAGCCTACAGGAAAGCCATGGAGTCCTTTTATCACTTCCCATGGCATCCTTCTGCAGCTTCTCCAAGTAGCCGCTACTCAGATTGGGATGGGAGTGATCTCCCACATACCGAAGACTATTCTTCCATCTATAGCCCACATGACAGAGCTCCGTACCATGGGGGAGCTCAGCAGTACGCAGATGCTCACCAAGGGAGGGAGGATGCTGACGGGGACTCCGAAATGGAGGAGGACTCTGAGTCTGAAGGGGAGATAGAATATGACTTGAGTAATATGGAGATCACAGAAGAGCTTCGCCAGTTTTTTGCACAGACGGAGAGGCACCGAGAAGAGCTGCGTAAGTCCATACTTGTTCTATGTTTTCTGGTACTTGGTGGCTATAATCTTGAGTGATGGATGACTTCAGCATTTAACAGGTTTTGTAAGAATTCACAGAATAGGCTCTACAAGGTGAGCAAGCCAAACAGAAAGCAGGCAAAACTGGTGGGTGCACTTAAGTACCACTCATTAGAAATAAGTCTCAGAAAATGTTTGAAAGTTTTTCTTTATAAGAGAGAGAAAAAATTATGGCTGCAAAGAGGAGAGTAACATATTTGTCCAGAAGACAATATTTATCTTCAGTGCTGATGGGAAAAACTCCAGAATTTTTATGGTTAAGTCTAGTTAACATGTTGTATGTCTGAGAGGGGAACCCAGAGGAAGTGGTTTACTACATCACTGAACCCTAGAGTAAGCTTCAATGTATTTTATAACATGAAGCAGCCATTTTGTTTGTTATTCTTTGTCTAACCCAACAGTAAAATTCCATGACCTTTTTCTTCTCCCCTTGCATCCCTAGGGTACTCTTCATTCGGTACTATACCACGAGTTTCTCTTTGTTTTGCATCTTGATCTGGACCCAAGTCCTTAAGCAGGGAATACAAGCCAAAGACTTAAGATTTTTCTCAGGTCTTGATCCTCAGAGGTATTGGTCATCTTTGTTTCTGCGCAGTCGTTACAAGACATAAAGATTATGCTGCACTTTACTGGCACTTTACTGCATATACAAATGTTGCAGGCAAATTTATTATCTGTTTTAAGAAAGCAGCTTGATGAAAATAACTTTTCCCACATGACTCCAATAGGAAATACCCAGAATGAATGTTTAATAAAGCTTTCTCTGCTTTCTCTGAAAGAGGAAAATGTTCTAAAAATGCGTAATAAAGGCAGTGTTTGGGAAGGAGAGATAAAAATTGTGTTTTTAACTTTGTTGATCAGAGGGTATCCAGTGAGCTGAAACACCTCAGCTTAAGCTCACACTTCCCATCAGTGTGATGCACAGTTCATAGAATCATAGAATGTTGTGAGTTGGAAGGGACCCACAAGGATCATGGAGACCAACTCCTGTCCCTGCATAGGACAATCCCAAGATTCAGACCATGTGTCTGAGGGCCTTATCCAAATACTTCTTGAATATTGTCAGGCTTGGTGCTGTGACTGCCTCCATGGGGAGCCTGTTCCAGTGCTCCACCACCCTCTGGGTGAAGAACCTTTTCCTAATGGCCAACCTAAACCTGTCACATCTTCGTACCATTTCCTCTGGTTCTGTCATTGGTTGCCAGAGACAGAAGCGCCTGCCCCTCCTCTTCCCCTTGTGAAGAAGTTATAGACCATGATAAGGTCTCCTCCAGGCTGAACAAACCAAGTGACTTCAGCCTCTTCTTATATGTCTTTTCCTCTAAACCCTTCACCATTTTGTGGGGAATGTGATTGAAGGAGCTCAGTGGTGGTGCCTGATGTTTATCCCTTTCTCATCCTGCTTTTGCAGAATCAGCTGGGTGTTCTCTGTTGAAGCGTTCCTTTGATGAAGTACAGGATGCTTTAAGATGCTCGCAAATGCAGTATATTTTCTTGGGATTTATTTTATCTTTATGGTTAGTGGTGTTTAAAGGTATGTGAGTGATTAAAGTGGTACCATGGAAATTGGGAAATCTGGGCTAAGAGACATTCTCTGTTGCAGATATCCTAATGACCTTGGGATAGCTTTTTAATCTCTTCCTGACCCCTCACTGCCTGCTCTTGCTAAAAATATGATTTGATTCTTTATGATGAGCAGGTGAATTGGGAAGAGGTTTGTGATGCAGAATACAGATTTTACTTTTGTTCCTTCCACTACAGCAGTACTTGGCACCTTTTGGAATAATTAGTACATGAGTATCACGTACTAGTCTAGTTCTGGGTGAGTGTAACTCTATTCACTTCAGCAGCACTATTCCAAATCTTCATGCAAATTTTAGCAGAATCTGGTCTTTAGCTATTGAATGCCTCAGTTTCCTTCATAGTTTCCCTGATAAAGTGAGGATACTGTAATTCCTCAAAGCATGAAAAAATAAACAAGTACTTGATTTAATTGAAATTTAGAAGTGCCACAGAACTCTTAGGTGAACAGTGCAATCTAAATGCTAGTTTTGTGAGTAATTAAAAATACAGTATGATCTTGTTCAGAAATAATTTTTTTCTTGTGTGGTGGGGGAAAAGGAAAACAGAATAAATTTTTAGTTCTGTTGAAGTTTGTCAAAAAAAGAAACATAAGCAGCAGGAGGAAGGGAAAGTCGTCGTTCCCCTGATAGTGTGGAAATGAGCTGGTATGGAGACCGTATTGATGGCAGTACCACTCAACTTTAGGAGGTAGTGTTTTTAATTATCCTGGATACTGTTTCTGAACAAAATGAAATTTAAGGATTCATTAAGCTGTGATCATGTTGTATCTTTCATAGTGTGCTGAGGAATGATTGTCATTCTGTATCGATGCTCAAGAAGATGGAGATAATGCATCTGCAAAAGAAAAACATGATTACTGAAGGATTTCCTCTCTTTTAGTCCCAAACTGTTTGTCCTGGGCTGCTCCCTGCACCTTAAGAGCAGATTTGTAGAGAAACTGAGGCACTATAAAGCTCAGTAATGCTTGAAATTTAGGCATCCATCTCTGGAAGAGACATTTGTAATATTGAGGGAAGAGTTTTAAATTTTCTCTGAAATGAATGAGAATGTTTGGGCATGTCAGAAGGGGAATACCAATAGTGACCTTGATGATCAGTTGAAGTGTAAGCCAGCTGTTAAGGGGAAGGCTGTCTCTCATGTTTTCTTTCTCTGGCATAAATACAAGGCTTCAATTGGAGTTTCCAGCCTTTGACCCTGGCATCTTGATATGCACTTAGGAGCAGACATGTGGCTTGCTCTTCTTTGAAAATGAATCATAGAATTGTTTGGGTTGGAAAAGACGTTTAAGATCATTGAGTCCAACTGTTAATCTAACACTGCCAAGTCCACCGCTAAACAATGTCCCTAAGCACCACCATCTGCACATCTTTTAAATCCCTCCAGGGATAGTGACTCCACCACTTCCCTGGGCAGCCTGTTCCAGTGCTTGACAACCCTTTCCGTGAAGAAATTTTCCTAATATCCAACCTAAACCTCCCCTGGTGCGATTTGAGACCATTTCCTCTTGTCCTGTCGCTTGTTATTTGGGAGTAGAGACCAAAACCCAGCTCCCTACAACCTCCTTTCAGATATTTGTAGAAAGTGACAAGGTCTCCCCTCAGCCTCCTTTTCTCCAGTTCCCTCAGCCACTCCTCATAAGACTTGCGCTCCAGACCCTTCTCCAGTTTAGTTGCACTTCTCTGGACAGGCTCCAGCACCTCCATGTCTTTCTTTTAGTGAGGGGCCCAAAACTGAACACAGCACTCAAAGTGCAGCTTCACCAGTGCCAAGTACAGAGGGACAATCACTTTCCTACTCCTGCTGGCCACACTATTTCTGACATAAGCCAGGATGCTGTTGGCTGCCTTGGCCACCTGGGCACACTACTGGCTCATGTTCAGCTGGCTGTCGACCAACACCCCCAGGTCCTTTTCCATGTCTCATCAACAAGTAGAAGGATAATCAAAGGGACTAAAACAAATCCTAGCTGATGACAGACTCTTCACTTGTAATGCCTGCTCTAGAGTCTGCTGGAAGTATATCTGATCAGAGGATAAGATCTTGCAAATTTTAACTGTGGAAGACTTAAGTAGGCCTGAGATGTAGGTGGGAAGAGCATTTGTGTCTGGATGGTGAAATGCAAGTATTAACGCTAATTGTGGAGACAGAAGTTTCAAAGATAAGAAAGCCAACGTGTCAGACTAGCCAGAGAAGAAAACTTTGATTTTTTTTTATTTTTTTTTCCCCCATTTTTTGGTAACTACCACGGACTTGAAGAACAGGCAGATTCCTGCCTCCTGTAGCAATTTTTTTGTTTGGTTTGGTTTTCACAGTGGGCATTGATGGCTGACTTGCACAGTAAAGCCTTTGAAACTGGCAAACACTGAGCCTTGCTACATGATTTAACACTTCAGCAGTGATACAGTTGTTCACAAACACCTCTTAAAACAACCTCTTTTTTTGTCTTTGAATTCATGTCAAATTCTTACTAGTTTTTATATTCATGTCATGTGTTGCAGTCAAGTTATTTGTTCCTGGAATACCCTGAAGAAATGTGAGCAGAATTTTGCCAAGGCTGTATGAACTCAGACACATTAATGCACCACAAACTGATCTTGTATTCCACATACACTGTGCATTTGGTTAAAATCCCTTACAGACAGTTTTAATTTCTTTCCTCTTCAGTTGTTTCTTCATATGCAATCATAATTATGTACTGATTCTATTTTTTAGGGGGTTTTGTGGTCAGGCTAGTCTTTTGTTTGGTTCTTCATGTACCTATTGTGCTGCTTGGGGATGTTTTTAGTTGCATTTAAAAGTTTTCCCTCTGGCTGTTGAAAAGCATGGAGCTATTTTTCTGGGTTACTGTACCTGTCAGACCTAGGTAGTGTGCTGAATTCTCCAAGCATCCTAGATGTAGAGGACAGAATACAGTAAGTTGCCTTTTTATATTTACAAGAATTAAAAGAAGAAAAAATAAGAAAGGAAGAATTACAAGCCTCAGAATTCCATAAACTGGCTAATTGCCTGTATTTGTTACACTTTTAAATTTAGCCTTTGAAACATAGTTTGTCCTGATGCAGTTTTTCTCTGTTCCATTTTTACATATAGGAGAAAATAACTACTGTAATTGAGACAATACAGCCTTGTGTGTATGTTGAGAACCATTCTGTAGTAGTCAACAGGCAATGAGGCAGTGTCCTTTATTAAAAAACAAAGAAAATCAAAGGAAGGTACCATCATGTCAGTTCATAACTGAAGGATAATAGTCTGTCAGTTGTTAATGCTATGACTGTTTTTTTCTCTGTTTATATTTCCTACACATACCCTCCAGCTTTTCCCAAAATAATGTCTCAACTTCAAATTTTCATGCTAGATGGAAAACCTTTTAAAAAATTGAAAGGAAATGGTGAATGAAGATGTTTGTTTCAAATCTGCAATTTGTAGGGTTTGTTTCCCTTGGGTTTCTTTTTCTCTGAAGGATGATGGTTGCCACTGCCTCTTCTGTGAAGAGGGAGTAATGGAATTTTCCATGTTTTGAAACTTGTTTGAGTAGTACCAGATCCATGAAGCTTTTGGTTTTGTTTAAGGCCTATGTGCTTCTTTGGAAAATAGACTTGGATGCAAGTTTTTTGCCGCCACGTTTTCCCTCTTTGCTTTTGGTAAATGTTTCTTCCTGTTCTTTATCTCTCTTTTTCTACATCAGACTTTCAAATTGTTATTCTTGGTTACCAGCATCTTTTTTGTTTCTTCTGCCCTGTCCCAAACCTTGGATGGCAGTGTGGATGATGACCTTACAAATATCTGCTCAACTTCCTTGGCTTTGTCAGCCTTTTAACATGAAATTTTACCACTGTCTTTAGAAGTTGAATTGCTGAAGCTTCTGAGGAATGCTTGTGAAATAAGAGTGCTCTCTGCAATATGTATGGGTGCTTGAGAGACGTTTTGAAGCACCTTTTTTGTGAACTGAAGGAGAAATGTGAAAGGTTCTCCTCTTGTACCACATCTCCTCTTGATGATTGAAGCTTTTATCCTGTAGCAGCAAAATCTTGTTAGGTACACACACTGTGTCCAACATAGAGTCTGTGTTACTTGCTGTTGGAAGGCAACAGCTGAGAAAATGCCTCCTTGCTAGGGAAATAAGGAAAAGTGCCACAATTTTCACCACCTCAACATTGAAAACTATTGTGTATTTGTGAAAATAGAGGTCTGAATTGCATTGAGAGAGCAACAGCTGGACACAGTTTTATATCGTTTTCATAGGAGACAAGGTTATCAATTTGATACTCGATAGGAGTATCAATTTGGGCACACAGCAATTCCTAGAGTATGTAATAGTCAAGAAAATGCTCTTGGATCTCATACTAGAGACAGATTTTTTGCTTAGAAGAATGTATAGCTTTGCTATGTGGACTTATGTCTTTCCTATCAGTCCAACACATTTTGCAGCTAATGGGCATTATGCTGTATAGATGTACTTGCTGCTGCAGGAATTAATGGAAGAGAGACACAACAAAGCTTGAGGTGCTGCTTGGGAAACCGTGAGCTTTCTGTATCGCTGGACCAGATACAGTCAGAAATGGATATAGAATCATAGAATCACAGAATGGTTTGGGTTGGAAGGGACCTTAAAGATCATCTAGTTCCAACCCCCCTGCCATGGGCAGGGACACCTTTCACTAGATATCCTCTGCTGCATGCTCAGAAGAGTTGTGTGAGAGTTAATATATAGAACTGGAAATTATGTGTGAAGTCTTTCTTGTGTGTCTCAGGCTGAGACTCAGCAACCCCTGAAAGTACGAAAGTGCAAGGCCAGGCTTGTTATTTTACCGCTAAGGGGCGCCCCAGGTTTCAGCTCCTGGGTGGCTTATGAGGATGATGCCATGGACCACGCTCCCATGCGTGCAGTTTGGTGGAGCTGGGGCCTGGAATGCTGCTGCTCTGTCTGCCAGTGGTTGTCCTGGCCTCTGTTCTTCCTAAGCGTGCTGCGGAGTATTGGCATTTGAGTTGCAGCAGGTTTATAGCTAGAAGCATGGGAAAAGAAGCTCATGTGGTTCAGTGTAGCTGTAGTATAAACATTGCTTTAAGAGGAGAGCCAAGATGTCAAACACCTCTTAGGTATGATGGAAAGTAAAAATGCTGTCTTAATATGAAAATATGTATTAAACTTTGGAAGCCTGTGTTTGAAATTGTCACCCTTAATTTGTCTGTCTGATGTGCTCTTTTATTATAGTGGAGATAGTACATACCTCAGGTGGCTCATTGAGAGGTTCAATTTATTCATATTTATAAGGGATTTTGAGTACCTC